TGTGAAAAGCTCAGTATTTTGCCTGCAGTATGACTTCCCTTGGACACTCTCTCCACAGAGAAATAGCTGGAAACCAGGCTGAAAAACAAGATTGGGAACTTCCTCTAAAAACATTCAAACACTTTTTAAAAGAGATGCAAAATCCGTGGTTACTTTTTCCAGGGTGCTTTGGTGAAGGTGCAAAATTGAAGCTACCTACTCCAGCAGACTGTTCCTCACACCCTTGGGCAGCCAAGGTCAAAGGTCCTTCCTGAGCTTGCCTGGACTGAGCTGCAGTTCTGCTCATGAACCACTCAGCTGGGTGCTCCTCTGAGCGCCCATTTCCAGGCAGTTCCCATTTACTCCTTTCTCCCTCCCCTCTCACATCCAAAATGCACTCCTGAAAAATGATTAACGAAAATGTTAATGCAGTGCTTCACCCCTTGCAAAGACAAATCCATCCGCTAACTTGTATTTACATCTCCCGCTAATATGTTGCCCTGTGGGTGCCTCATGTCCCATCTCCTACAAAGCAATCAAGAGGCCCTAGAATACAAATTATCGGCTTTACTTTATTGTTCTGGACACCAGAAGCATTCAGGAGCCATGCCAAAACACAGACCCTCAGGGTCCCACACACCCTTCTGTTACAGTGTTACAATTAGAAACTAATCCAGCAGTCTGATTAAGTACTAGAATTCCTACACAAAGCATGGTATAATTCTTCAAAATCACCACTCACTTCAAGGGACACCAGCAAGCCATTTCACCATAAGAGCTGAGAGCTGAAAAGAAGGGGATGGAGGGGCATATAAAGCCTAAACAGAAATGTCTGCATCAAACATTGCTAAATAACCCTGGAGTGCTATTCACCTAAGCAGCTTGTGCAAATGCTCAGGAATTAGAAAGTGGACGATGATACTGGACTAGTCAGTCTCAGAGTTCAACTGAATGAATGCTAAAAAAAGTGAAAAGATAAAAAAAATCTTTTTGATGCCTTACTGTGTTATTAGTGAGGGGGAAAGGGTTGAAAGACAAATAAATAAAAAAACCTCAATAGCCAATATTTCCCCTTTCATCTGGACAATGGTGCTCATAGAAAAAGACTCACACTGTTTTCATGATCACATGAAGTAAGGTTTCATTAAAAATATTCATTCCCCCTCATTTACCAACTGTGTGAATTATCCTGAAGTGTACGGGCACTTTATAGCATTATAGCTACAGGGGGGCGTGATGCTATAGCGCACACTGCACAGTTCACAAAAGGCATCCCATTTTAAGACTCTTCCCTTACATTCAGTTTAGCATATAAAACACCCGCCAGGCCGGATCGTTTTAGCAACAGAAGAAGGATTGTTGCACGTCTGTCAGGTATCTGGCCTGATTCAGTGCATCTCCATGGCAGCCCGCTTGGCAGAGCTCCGACAGAGCAGCCCTTTGTACCTGGGTAGGTGAATCGAGCACCACGGCTTCAAAACACACTGCACAAAATGAATGCTATTTATGGCTCAAATTTCCTAAATATCTTCAGCAAGTCAAATGCGTTGCTTGAGTCAGTCCCCGTATCAACACCCCAAAGTGTGCCAACTACGCTTCATCTTGAAGAGGCTCAAGCGTAACACTGCTTCAAAATGTGAGCTATATGGGAGCAACGCTCAGCCTACTAATGCTGCACCAGGGAGCAAATTTCTCATAGCCGTAAAGGAGTCTGTAGGAAAGCCAGAGTTCACCTTTCCTGACAGCCCCCTCTCAACAAAATGAATCCCCTTCTTTTCTGGATCTAAAGCCCTGTTTTTTCCCATGGGTAACATGACTCAAAGGCAGCAGGGGGTGAGGGAGGATTGAATGTTAGTCCCCAGAAGCAGAAGGGGTGTTAGGCAAAGGGGCCACCTGACTGTGACAGACTGCAGGATGGGTCAGTCTGCACTTGAACCCAAGAGGCTCCCATCCAAAGCAGATGACTTTTGAGCAACACGTCGGCTGTCTTCAAACAGCTTCCTCCTAGGAACCAGGGACTGCACAGTTTACTTTGTCCATAAATTTGCTGTTAGCAGCCAAGAAACCTGACTGACAAGATGATATGCTGCAGAGAGACTTTGTTAGACTCATTCCTCGCACTCAAAACAAACACTCGTGAATGAGGAGGAAACAGCTAATCTGTCTCCTAAATGTTTTGCCATTTAAGTGTTTCTACTATCACTTTCACAAACTCAAATAAAATTCTAGTCTCTCAAAGGCTTCTGGTTACCGTCCACAGCCGAGACACGACAGAAAGGCAGTTGTTCGTATCAGTCTCCCAACTCTAGCGTAAAGTTTTATACTTCAAACCCAGAAAATTTTGAAAAGAGCCAAATCACTGCAACCTCCATGTGATACAGACAAAATACAGATGAAGAAGCAAGGAAGAGCTGCAAATCAGAAGCAAAGCGCAGATGTGGTTATATTTGCCACGTGCTCTGGTAGTTCCACTCTGCTGAATTCAATTCAGTTATGGCTACATTATGAGACAAGTATAGCACTTGCTATCGCCAAGGGACTGCACAACCACCAATCATTTCAGGAATTAAAGAGAGCACTACTGTCCTTTCATATCTATGTACCCCGCAAAAAAATGGCACATGCACGCACGCAGCCGTCTGCTTAGCGAAGGGTACGGGACAAAAGCATTGCTAGCATAAGCTGCCATAACCATATTGCCTCACAACATGTTTGTGTCCAAATTGGCTTCTTATTCCATCCCATTTCTCCATTCTGGCTTTTAACCGCAGGCCTTGAGGAGTGAAGTCTTCACTATAAAACTTAGGCCAGGATGCAACACAAGCCAAAATGCATTTAAAGACAGTATTACAATGAGACTATTGCACAGCTGAATCTGATTGCTCCAGCCCAGCTGAGACAACTTAGGAATGGATCTCATGATGCAAAACTTCTGCTCAAAACAAAAATGTACACCCACTATAAAAATAGAAGTCAAACACATGAAGTCTAGGAAGTGCTATTTTGCTACCAATTACAGTGGTGGATAATACCAGAGCTCCCAGAGGGGTTTACATTTCTATATGACTTGAGGGGAGGGGGGGAGGTACAAGCCACACAGAGCCTTTGGTTGCTGTCCATAGAGACTTATTCCAAGTATTTTCACGTGAGAAGCTAAATGGAAATCTGCCATCGTTACAGTACAACACAGCTGTGGAGTAACAGACTGCCATATTTATCAACGTGTGATGTGCAATGGCATGAAGGTCTTGACAGTTTGTAAACTAATTTTCTTGATCAAAGTAGGAAGGCTGGATTATAAAGTGGGTTTTTGCCAGAGTGGTCTAGGAAATTCAACGCAGACCACGATATGAGGTTATTATTCTTTTTATGCTACTTAGGAAAGGCTATCATGCTAATCAGCCGTTACAAGGTTTTAATGATAGGTCTACTTATTTATTGCATACAGTGAGGTAGGTAACTCTCGTTATCACATAGCCTGAAATACAGAAGATTGCAAATTACTTACGTTAGATCTCCCAAGTGAAGGAAGTCCAGACGGACTGTGTTCTTCATTTGTGGGGTCCTGGTACCTGATCTGATCTATTCTCATGTAAGAATCGTACAATCCGTCTCCATATCTGGCTGGAAACATCACATAGGCAAGCCAGTTATTCACAACAGTTAGAAGTTTTTTTCTAATTAAGACAGTTGGCTGAGTTTCAGTTCATTTTCAATAAACTTGGGGCTTTGCTTACAGTCTCTTCTTTTTTTTATCATTTAGCATGCAAAAATATTCTTTAAGGAACAAGGATGATCCTGAACTAGCCCTAGGCAGAGGGAACCTTTTCCATCCTCAAGCAGTCAAACTATCCTGTAAAAGCAACACGCAGCGATCAAGCTCAGTAAATTTGCTGATATTAACACCAATCAGCAAGAGACAAAAAAAAAAGACAAACAGCATGGGGGGAGCCACCAGACTTTTCATTTGTGCAGTGACTGCCAAATAACACGACCGTGCTTTAAAAAAAATTTTTTTAAAGTGTCTGAAGCCGTTAACATCACAGTCTCACAACACTGATCAACAGATACCTTCAAAACATTGGCAGAGTGTTTGTTAAACCATCAAGTACTGCGTTTCTATGAACATAAGACGGTGTTTCTTATACCAGGAATACTTTGCGCCAAAGAATATAACCCCCCCCCAGCTCTGTCACCCCCTCCAAGGAGCTGAGACAAGCAACCCCGGCCGCCGAGCAGAAAAAGACATTATTTTTTTAAAATCCCCGATTCAAGGCCAAAAAACCCGCCG